TTTTGTAATAGACTTAAAGAATGAGCGACCAAGTCAACAATGTTTAACAAGTATAAGAGCTTATTTAATAAGTTTTTGTGTATATATACTAAATTGAGAATCTGTGACACGTGCAATTAAATTATATGTTTAACCTAAAATATTTTAAATTAAAGATTAAAGTGATGAGTATTTGATATTTTAAAAATTATTTAAGTAATTACATTATTTCAGTAAATTACCTAATGATGAAGTAATTTTGAGTATGGTGAATGAAAAATAAATTAAAATGATTTAATTACATTTCTTTTATACTTATATATTCATTTTACATTTTAGTCTCCATATTTTAAAATCTCAATTTATTTCTAAACATACCGATTTTATTCCCTTTAAAGCAATGCCATCCATTTTTACAAGACTAAGAAAGAAAGCTAATAGAATTACAAGAACTAAAAAAATTATATAACTATAAAGACTAAAAAGAAAAATTTATATGAGTATAAAAACTAAAAAGAAAAAAAAATGGTATGTATAATTCAGACCCTTAGACAAGTAAAATTATGAGTCAATTTGAATACTATTGAGTTTTGACTAATCATTAAGTGTGTTTGGGTGAAAAATTTAAATGAAATAATTCATTTGTTTGAAGAATTTTAAATTTCTTGAGATGAAATGCTTTGTTAGGATGAAGAATTTACAAAAAATTTGAAATTCAAACATTTGTAAAATTTCTTAAAATAGTAGAATTTTAAAATTCTCCTAAAAAAGTAAGAATTTGAAATTCTTCATATATTTTTTTTCTTATTTTACTTATATATTCTTTATTCTATCTCTTATCTCTTCATGCTTTTAATTATTGAATATTTAAAAATATTTTTAAAATTATTAAATATTATCTAACATTAATTTTTAAAATTGGTTAATATTTATTTTTATAAAATTTAATTTAAAAACTCAAAATATAAATATATTTTTAAAATCGATTTTATCATGGTGGAATCAAATTACCATATTCAAGCTAAAAATTTAAAATTTTAAAAATTTAAAATTCAAATAAAATATTTTAAGAATAATAATAATTAAAATCAAAAACTTTAACTCCCTTGAATTTGTAAAATTATTCATCCAAACACATCAAAGTAAACAATAATGTTTGGTATGAAAATTCTCGGTATATCATTGACTTCCTGATCAATAATAATGAAAGTGTCATCCTTTTCTATCATTTTTACACGTAAAAAAATTTAAAACTTAAAACTATAAGAACTAAAAGATAAAATTTATCAAATTATAGAAAAAAAGTAATTAAATAAATTAAACTTAATTTTTTGTTTTTACAATTGATGGCACCTCTTTTAATTTTTTTTTTCTCATCGGAAACAGACTCCGCACTTTAAGTATCCGTTACAGTTGATATATAAAAGAAGAAATAAAAGCCCTAATTTAATACTATTTACTACGGTTCACACCATCTTCGCATTTTTTTCGCATCCGTTTTGTTTGACAAAAGCAAGAAAAGCCAATATTTATTTATTGACTATATTCATTTATTATCATTTTAATTTCCCACTTCCGAATGTTTTTCGGGCAAAACTCGGAACAGTAATAACATGGTTCCAAAATAGATTAATACAACATTAAAAAAGCACTATGAAATATTTAAGGTTCCACTCTGGTGGACCCAAACCCATTTAAGTTTTCATCTTGGCCGTTCGTGTTTCAATCAACGGCTGGTAACTAATGATACGAGTCAACACAAAACCGTGGGCTTCGTCAATTTAAATTTTACCTACTTTAACATCAACAACCGTTGCTAATGGCTTTGCCTCTTTCATCATTGATGATTTTTCAAAAAAAAAAAACCCTCAAACGTTTCCTGAATGTGCTCACATCAAAGTTTGTAATGAAATGAATATAGGTAAAAAGACAAATTACATTGAACTCTTTTAAATGAATTTACAGAAAAGTTGACTTTTGGTAGGGCAGATAGAAGAGAGAGATAAAAAAAAAAAGGAAAAGAAAAAGATATACAATGTTTGTTGAATCCATATAGATAAAAATAAATAAATAAATAAAGATAAATGAAGAAATATGATAAAGGTTGGCATATGTGTTATGACATAAAAAAATAAAAAAGACTCATTTGTTTTATAATCATTGTAATTAGGACTTTTAATTCTCATAAAGATAAAGGATTATATGGTTTCGTAAAAACTAAAATTGAACTCTTGATATTTTTTTTATTAATATAAAAGATTACAATGACAACATGAATTAAATTTGTTTTTATACATTTACTTTAACATTGACTTCTAGATTGATTTTAGTTGTTGATATTAAAGTGTCATATTTAACGTGTATAATTATTCTAATTTTAAGAACCTACACTAATTTTTATTTGTATATATTTAATGGTTATATGAATTTTATAAAGAGGATATCAAAGGAAAGTGCATGTAATTTTGATTTGATTTTAATGTTAAGAGCAGTCAAAAACTTTAAAGCAATTGATTTAAAAGTGTTAATTTCTTTTTAGATCAAACAGCCTAACAATCTTTTATTAGTTAACGATGAAAGAGAATCTTAATTAGAATACAATTTTTTAAACTCATAAATATAAATAATTATACTTTTAAGTTTTTTTTTAATGATTCATGAACCATACACAGTAATAATTTTAAAAACGTTTAAAAATAAAAGGTGGCAACTGATTCAAAAATGGAAATGTTAAATAGTTGTTATATTCAAAATGCAAAATGACTTAATATTAATTAATGTTCTAATTATAAATAATTAATAATTTAAACTAAATATTCATCAACCATTACTGCTATTATCCTCATCCATAATAATAATAATCATTGGAATATTAAAAATATGTCTTTAAATAGATATTCATAATAAAGTATAATGCATTCTTTCTCATTTAAGATAAAAAAATATGTTTTATGAGGTTTAACAGTAAGATGGACCAATTTGCAGAAAGTTTAAATTTTATTGTAATCATTACATGCTAAAAAAATATTAACTTAAATATATTTTTAATTTCTATAAAATTGATGATTTTGATTTTGGTCTCTTTAAAACTTTTTTTTTTTTATTTTTCATCCTTTTAAAATTTATAAACATTGTTTTTGGTCCTTATAAAATAAGTAAATTTTGATTTTGATTTCTATAAAATATTTTTCTTTAGTTTTCATCCCTCAAAAATTTAAACTAATTATTTTTAATCCCTAATGATCATTTTAAGGTGGATAAATAATATTTATTTTAAAAATTTATAATTTTTTTTAGAAGTGTTAAATATCAATAATAGTTGTAGGTAAACTTAAGATGGTTACTTAACTTTTTAATAAATAAAAATTAGTTAAAAAATAATTACATAAAAGTAGATACTAAAAATAATAGTTTTAATTTTATAGGGATGAAAAATATAGAAAAAAATTTACAAGGACTAAAATCAAAACCTGCTAATTTTATAGAGGTAAAAAATATATTTAAGCCAAAAATATTTTTATGAAAATAATTTAAATTAAAATTTTTTATAACATGATAAAATTAATTTTCTCAAAAAAAAAAAGTTGTATACAAAAGTTTAAATACAATTATATTTTTTAAAAAAATAAAAGTCGCTTTTAAATTAATTAATCACTTATTAATTTTTAACAAACTTTTTTGAACACATTATTACATTAAATATATTCTTAGTTTTTATACTTTAAATAAAACATATAATGAGATCTTTTATTTTCATATCAATAAATTTGGTTATCAAACTTTAATAATTATGTGAATTTAGTTTCCTAACTCTAATGATTATTAGAGAGAAGAGACTAAATCTAGATATTTTTAAAATTTGAAAATTAAATTTATTAACATAAAAAATAATTAACTATATTTTTAACATCAAATAAGGTGGTTGTGGTATATTTATTAAAAGAGAATTGTTAATAATACATTCTTAATTACTTTTTTTTTATTTTTTATTATAAATAAAAATAACTGATTTTACACATATTAAGAAAGTTAATAATCCCAAGCGTGTGGTTCAGCGGTAGGGGTTGATCCACGCTTAAGCAAGGTCAAGGGTTCGAATTTTGTCTTATGTATGCAGCTGCGTTATAATTTTAGGTCAGCTATCCCAGCTTTTGAAGTGTCTCCAACATAGCGAGAAGATTAGTCACTACTATCGGTGGTGAATACTCTAGGGACGAACTAAAAGAAAGTTAATTATTTGTATTAAATTTTACTATTCCATAAATTTTTTTTCTAAATTGTCCTTATTAGATGTAAAAGAAATACTAAATTGAAAAGTCATATATTAAAGGAGAGATATTTTAAAAAAAATATCATTAAATAATATAAAAATAATTAAATTTGGTTATATTTAAGAACAATAAATATATATATTTTTTCTTTATAATGGAGAGTAGAAATAGTATATTTTTTTAAACACATTCTTTCAGTGATTAAAATTTATCAAAATATACAAAACTTGATAGATTTCATATCATGTTTAATAATTCTCTCTTATAATTTATAATTTATAATAAATTTTAACCAATAAAAATTAATGTATTAAAAAGAGTGTGCTACTAATACTCTTTTTTACTAAATTTAACAATTATAGTATCACTTAATAGATATAAATTAATCATTAATTATCAATTTTAGAATACAGCATGTTTATATAAATATTCACGCAACCAAAAGAAGCAAAAAAGTTAACTCAGTCGGTGACTTTATATAAAAAATTTAATACTTATATTAATATCCTGGATTAAAATAAAGTGCCTAATAAATGCTTGCGAGCGATTTACTCCCTTTAATAAAGCAGCTTTTTCTGATTGGTTAATGCAGGACAGGTGCAGCGAAAGGCGAACGCAGGGGAACGTGTCCCCTCCCCACTCTAAACGCGCACAGAAACGGCGTCGTTGCATGGCGTTTTGGTGTTGACGTGCGTCAACCCACTATTATAAATACCTTGCTCCTCCTTCCTTCACTCCTCACAACTCACAGTAACATTGCTTCTCTTGATTTCTTCTCCAAAAACGCTCCGTTTTGCGGTTCCCCATGTTTCATTCATCTCCCAGCTCTTCCAAGTGACTATGCTTCGTTTTCCTCTCTCTCTCTCTATAATTCTCTAACCTTTTTCAATTCTCTGCGTTGTTAAAACTTAAAACACTGTCGTTTTGTTCCTTTTGCAGAAGAATGGCGTCGTCTATGGACGTTGACAAGGTCGAGATTCCGCCACCAGTGAACGACGCGCCCAAATCGAAGAAGCAGAAAGAGGCATACACCTCAGCGTCCTCTTTATTTTGTTTTATTTTATTTTTTTGTTATTTTGCTCATGCTGGTTTCTTACTGAACTTTTGATTTTTTTAATTTTAATTTTTTGTTTTCGGTTGATGCTTTTTTTTAATTATTTTTTTAAATAAAACTTTAAATGCGCTTGCTTTTTTTGGTTTTTTTCAAGTGTCGTCGTGGCATGCATTTCGAGGAGTCCGAGGTTTCTCGGTTTGCGTGCTACGAGCTTAGTTTGTTGGTCTTGGGTTTCAGGAGAGGGATTGGCGTTGGTCGGAAATTCTCTGAGAAGAGGACGTTTATTGACTGCAACATTGTAAACTGTGTGTGTTTGTGTTTTTTTTTTTGAGAAATGGAAGTGTTTTTTTTTTTAAACAAAAACAAAATTATTTTATACTATCATTTTGATGCATTAATTTCGGGTTTCTTTGATTATTAAGTTACCAGTTTTGGGATTTTTTATTACATTGATTATTGGGAATGTAGCAAAGATCGGATATCACTGTAGTCGTGATCATGTCTTTTTTTAGTCACGTGTCGGAAAAACAAAAAACTGCATGGATTTTTACAGAATTATGCTATTGTTGGGCGGAGTCAAGTGATTGGGTGCTCAACAATTCAAGAATTAACCGGCATGCAAAAATATTTTTACATAAAAAAGTTTTTTTTTTTCTTCTAGAATTTTTGTTTCTCTCTTTTCTTTTTTGTCTGAAATTTTACTGATATATTATAACATGCAGAGCTATGTGTAGGGTTGTTTTCAGTTGGTAACACTCAGCACCACTTAAGACACTAATGCTTTGTTAATATTTTGTGATTGGTATTCCTAATCATGTTGTTTCTTCTCCAGTTGCTGATGAATATTTTTTTTCTTCATCATAAATTATGAACAGTACTTCCTTATTTCTTAATTTAAACTGTGAGATATTCAAATTGACTGAATTTACTGGATTATCATTATGTCCTTGACATGCATGCTTTTACCTTTGAACTAATTTTCCTTGCTTTCTTGTTTTTTTTCTAAGATTCAATGATCAATGATGCCTCTATGAGCTTTATGTTTTTCTTACTGAAACAAATAAATTAATCGTATTTTACTATTGTAGGTCATGCATGAAGGTATCAACGTAGACAATGACGATAACTCTGCAAAGGTAGCATTAAAAGGTGATATTGTTGTCAAAAGTGAGAAAGGGAAGGCGATTGAACTCATTCAGGAAGGTTACGGCGATAGTCAAACTATGGTATATGATTTATTTTTTTCTTGCAGATGGTTGATGTCATCTTTTTCAACATGATAAGCAACAGTAACATTTTGCTTGAAATCTTTTTCAGCTGGTGTTTGATGATCTATTTCTTCCATGCGGAAAGGCTAAATCCGGATCAGAAAGCAAGGTCAAGTCTTCCAATAGCGGTGCTAAAGAAACCCATAATTTGATCATCAAATTCGATGAACATGATTCTGATGAGTCTTCTGATAATTTAAGTGATGAAGATGCAATATCGAACATTTCTGATTTGTTTTGGGACGATAACGTCGAAATGGAAGTAGATAATTATAATTCTATTCTACAAAAGCAATTTGACCGTGTGGATTTACCTGCAGGAATTGAGGCTCCCATTCCTTGGATGGCAGACCTTAATATCAGTTCAAAAGCGACTAACAATGTTTCATTGTCTCCTTTGTCTCAGACTAAGGCTGGTGCCAATAACTCTCCTGTGTCGACTAAGTCATCTCAGCCTCCACTTTTGCCATTTAAGATTCCTAAGACTGAAATAGAAGAACCTTCTAAGCCTTCAACACAAGGACCTTCTGCAGGTATATTCTTCTAGTTCCAAAATAACTATTATTATCTATTAAGCTTATAATTAAACACCCTTCTAGAATGGAGGCATCTTTTCCTCTAAGACTTTCTCAAACTTTCTAGAGTATGAGCCAGTTTGAATACAATTTAGCAGTGTTTTTGAAAAAAAATTTATCAGAAAAAACATTTTATTTTTGGTAGAATTTTTTTTAAATATTCTTCTAAACTTATTATATACTCACAGAAAGGATCAAATGCCTTACAATTCAGGGAAGTAAGTTAAAGTTGGCATTTGGAATGGGGTCATCTAAATCTAATTTGTTAATTTTCAGGGCCTCCTGAGATTAAAATGCTGCCCAAGCCCTACTTTCCTTTGAACTGGTCTAATTTGGGGCCCAGGAAAGTGCCGCATGTAGGCCAGGCACTTCATATGGCACATTTGCAAAATTTAAAGGAATCTTCTGGAAGTACTTCAAGTTTGCGTAATCATTCACTTTTTGCTGGACCTTCATCTGGAAGTACTATAAGTTTGCAGAATCGTTCACGTTTTGCTGGACCTACATTTGGTTTTCCGGTTCCGGGAGGTGCAAGTGCCAATGTTTTGGGAATGAAGAATTCTTTTCCTTTTCAGCCATTTCCTACTCCCAGTCATTCATGTAATCCAATTCGTTATGGTTTTGGTCCTCATTATGCCCCTCCTCAAAACTTGTTTCCTACTCATGGTTATTCACCGGATCCAATATCTTATGCTTTTGGTCCTTACTCATCTCCTCAGAATTTGTTTCCTGCTCATGGTTTTACACCTGAGCCAATACCGTTTGCTTTTGGTACTTATTCCTCTCATCGGAATATGTTTCCTACTCACAGTTCCTATGGTTTTGGTCCTAATTACCCCGCTCCTCAGAATTTGTTTCATGCCCCTCGTGTGCAATTGTTTCCTAACGTTTGGGTTCCAAATACTTTGTATAATAGCACTAATGGGACTGCCAGTAGTGCTAATGCTGCTCCAATATCTGACGAAGCCAGATATGAAATTCTCAAGAAATTCCAAAACTTTAAGCAGTTTGACATCGTCCAGAATGGGTCGGACCATTTTTATGTTCATAACGTTAACGTGAATCAGGTAACCTTTCAATTGCTCTTCTTTTTCAGTCTTAATCTTAATTATTTATGTTTACTGTATATTTATTTCCTGAACAGCCTTCAAACCAATGGGCAAAGCGTATTATGGAGGAGTGGAAAATGTTGGAGAAGAATTTACCGGGTGAGAGTTAGTTTCTTTATTATCTCGATCACTTTTTGAATTTGTACTGTATGATTGTCTCCATTGTTGTTATCAATATGCCAATGTCAAACCATTGGAATAGCTGCATAACTTTTAATATATATCCTTATGAAACAGTGCTTTATAATTGTTTCCCTTCGTGGAAATGGCTGTAATTAAATTATGTTTTGAATATCATAATGAGCAATGTGTCAGCGCCACAGGGTTTTGGTGCAATTAATTAATCCCTTGATGTTGTTGATTTGACACTATATTTTATCTTGATCAGACACAATTTTTGTTCGAGTCTTCGAATCCAGGCTAGATCTTTTGAGGGCTGTTATAATAGGTGCTGAAGGAACCCCATATCATGATGGCATTTTCTTCTTTGATATCAAGTTTCCTAATGCATACCCAAATGTGCCACCGGTATGCGGTTGAGGATACTGTATCTAACTTGCACATTATTTTCATGTTCACTTTTATTTTCAAAGTCTAACTCAAGGAACATTTTTCAATGCAGTTGGTCCACTACCGTTCTTGTGGGCTCAAATTAAACCCTAACTTGTACCACTGCGGCAAAGTTTGCCTCAGTCTTCTTGGCACTTGGAGTGGTGCAGCAGTGACTGAGAGATGGATTCCAAATGTTTCAACAATTTTGCAGGTTCTGGTTTCGATTCAGGGTCTGATCTTGACTCCAGAGCCTTACTATAATGAGCCTGGGGTTCAAGTGGTCCAGAGTGGTACAAAAGCTGGTGAGATTTGTTCCCTGAGGTACAATGAGGACACATTCCTCTTATCTCTGAAGTCCATGGTGTATATCATGAGAAACCCTCCAAAGGTTTGATTCTTTAACTGTCTCTCGTTTCGTTTCTGTATATATTAAACTAGGTATATTGTCAGAAAAAACTATATTTATTTGGTTAAATCACTTCATTGCAAATTCATCATCAACATATATTACATATATATCAAATATCAATTCAACATCATACATTCATACCCATGTCACTTATTCTTTAAAATTACATGCTAAATGTTTTTTATCATCTACGTGTTACCACTCTCTCAGTGACCTTATCTTCTCCCTTCCTCTCATGTTTTTCTCCTGGTATAGGGTTAGGGTTTAGTGTCTAGGGTTTTTAACTTATAGATCTTTGGATATATATATGAAGAGTAAATAAGAAGTGAGGAGTTTTTTTTTTTTTTTTTTTTTT